ATGAGCCTACTGCATCGCGTAAATCGCTGATTATGAAAATCTAAACGAACAGTTTTTTCTCGAATCTGACATCAAATTCGTTTTTTATGGGTTTGAATTGGTGTCTATGTATTTTTTGGGATTTTTAGAGCAATCAGGAAAAAAATATTTTTCGAGCCGTATAAGCATACTGCATCGCGTAAACCGCTCTTTTCAAAAATCTAAACAAAGAGTTTTTTCTCGAATCTGACAGCAAATTCGTACTTCATGGGTCTGAATTAGTGTCTATGTATTTTTTGGGATTTTTAGGACAATCAGGAAAAAAATATTTTTCGAGCCGTATAATTCTACTTCATCGCGTAAACCGCTGATTTTGAAAATCTGAACGAACAGTTTTTTCTCGAATCTGACATCAAATTCGTTCTTTATGGGTTTGAATTGGTGTCTATGAATTTTTTGGAATTTTAAGGGCAATCAGGAAAAAAATATTTTTCGAGCTGTATTATAAGCCTACTGCATCGCGTAAACCGCTGATTTCGAAAATCTAAACGAAGAGTTTTTTCTCGAATCTGACATCAAATTCGTTCTTTATGGGTTTGAATTAGTGTCTTTGAATTTTTTGGGATTTTTAGGGCAATCAGGAAAAAAATATTTTTCGAGCCGTATGAGCCTACTGCATCGCGTAAATCGCTGATTATGAAAATCTAAACGAACAGTTTTTTCTCGAATCTGACATCAAATTCGTTTTTTATGGGTTTGAATTGGTGTCTATGTATTTTTTGGGATTTTTAGAGCAATCAGGAAAAAAATATTTTTCGAGCCGTATAAGCATACTGCATCGCGTAAACCGCTCTTTTCAAAAATCTAAACAAAGAGTTTTTTCTCGAATCTGACAGCAAATTCGTACTTCATGGGTCTGAATTAGTGTCTATGTATTTTTTGGGATTTTTAGGACAATCAGGAAAAAAATATTTTTCGAGCCGTATAATTCTACTTCATCGCGTAAACCGCTGATTTTGAAAATCTGAACGAACAGTTTTTTCTCGAATCTGACATCAAATTCGTTCTTTATGGGTCTGAATTGGTGTCTATGAATTTTTTGGGATTTTTAGGGCAATCAGGAAAAAAATATTTTTCTAGCTGTATAAGCCGGCCTACTGCTTCGCGTAAACCGCTGATTTCGAAAATCTAAACGAAGAGTTTTTTCTCGAATCTGACATCAAATTCGTTCTTTATGGGTTTGAATTGGTGTCTATGAATTTTTTGGGAATTTTAGGGCAATCAGGAAAAAAATATTTTTCGAGCTGTATAAGCCTACTGCATCGCGTAAACCGCTGATTTCGAAAATCTAAACGAAGAGTTTTTTCTCGAATCTGACATCAAATTCGTTCTTTATGGGTTTGAATTGGTGTCTATGAATTTTTTGGGAATTTTAGGGCAATCAGGAAAAAAATATTTTTCGAGCGGTATAAGCCTACTGCATCGCGTAAACCGCTGATTTCGAAAATCTAAACGAAGAGTTTTTTCTCGAATCTGACATCAAATTCGTTATAAATGGGTCTGAATTGGTGTCCATGAATTTTTTGGGAATTTTATGGCAATCAGGAAAAAAATATTTTTCGAGCTGTATAAGCCTACTGCATCGCGTAAACCGCTGATTTCGAAAATCTAAACGAAGAGTTTTTTCTCGAATCTGACATCAAATTCGTTCTTTATGGGTTTGAATTGGTGTCTATGAATTTTTTGGGAATTTTAGGGCAATCAGGAAAAAAATATTTTTCGAGCTGTAAAAGCCTACTGCTTCGCGTAAACCGCTGATTTTGAAAATCTAAATGAAGAGTTTTTTCTCGAATCTGACGTCAAATTCGTTCTTTATGGGTTTGAATTGGTGTCTATGAATTTTTTGGGATTTTTAGGGCAATCAGGAAAAAAATATTTTTCAAGCTTATAAGCCTACCGCATCGCGTAAACCATCTGGCCATTCAGAAATTCTCTCTCATCCTACCCGAATCGGAATTGAATGTTTCAACAGAAAAACTAATTGGGGACAAATTTGAACTCGAGCGAACTATCAAAAATGATCTAATGAAGCAGACTATTTTACAAAACCCAGAATCCAATAAAGCAATCAAGGCAACTGCGGAGAGTAGCTCGTAGAGATGACCATAATGGCAATAGGTACAGAATTAGAGCAATTGAAATATTTTCTGAGGACAAATGATAACGTTATCGATGGCTCTAGTATGAATATAGGTGTGATAAGTTTTGCTATCTGTAATCGAATATACGAAGAAGCTCGAACTGAAAACGAAAGGAAAATCAGATAAAGAACGCATAACCTTCTGCCTGAGACACATAATCAATTAAATAATTCCCATTAACTATATTAATCACAATCAATAAATAAATCGACTAATACTAGACCGTGAAGAAATAAATAAACAGATAATAATGAAAATATAACCTCATTAAAAAGAATGTTACCAATGAGGTTTTATGTGGACTGTTTTCAAATATCAAAATGTGGGATTTACTAGCCTTGAAACAATGAAATTTATCGACTTGTGCCCACTGGCTTGATTCAATCCATGATCCATGGCATATTGCTGGCAGTATAATATCCTCTCTCCATCATCGTCAGCTATACTTGACACGGAAAAAATAGATTCAATAGAAAAAGCTAAATCAATTTGGGTATAATAAGTGATTGTTGCTGTTCCCAGATAATTTGGTTATGGTAACAACGAGGTCTTGTCCACATAACCATACGAATTGGGCATTGGTAACCAGAAAACTCATCAACTTATTACTTCTGAAACTTCACTAAATGCATATGATTCATTGATGCTAGCTCATGATCATTTTCAGAATGTATAGGTTCCTAATATTTTGTAATCGAAATGGAGTTGTGCATTACCTACTTCGAAATTACCACTATATGCTTTTCCGTATTTCTCTTTATTTTTGATCCAACTATCACATCCCTCAGAAATACCTGTCAACGAAATTTCTCAAATCAGCATCCTATAGCTACAGCCAATCGAGAATATTCCATACAACAAAGAAACAGCCGAAGGATTTAAATCAAAATTCAGGATTTAGAGGATATACATAAGGCGAAGATAGCTACAATATTGGAAATTGAAAGAACACATATGGAAGAATTTTTGACGGGAGCTTGGGATGAAGACTATCTGATGACCAAGGTAATAATATCCGGGAACCTTTCAGACAGGTTAGATTTGGAATATTTGGGTTGCAATTATAATGGGAGTGTCTGGTGCCTGTTATGCTGTGAATTGACGAATTTGAAAACCATCAGTGATACATGACAGGCACACATATTTTCTTGTTTCCTTGCAGATTCGCAGACCGACTATTCACGAAAATTCATAATTATATAGGCAGGATTTTCTATCCATATTGGGGAGACTTGTAGAAAAGACATGTTCTCAGGTTCGACAGATTCTTTTCATGATACGCTAATCAGAATCGACACTTGGTCGAAAGTTCCTTTAGGAGCTCAAGAGCTGCTTTATTTTTGAGTCTGACAAATGCAGAAGCTTATAGCGGCCATTAACAACCTCATTATATTGGCTAATGAAGGTGCTGATCTTACAACAATTGACGACATGGTGGTGTGAAGAAGCTCAGTTATAGCAGAGAGTTGAATATATTTTTTTGTAATAAGCTTGATCAATAAGAAAAATTCAAGGTTCTCCTGGTATAACACTAATCGTTATCTACAAGAGGATAAATCTATTGATTTTAGAGATTCATTGAAAACTTCGAGAGCCACTATATGCATTCTGAAATCGATGACCGCTACAAGCATGTTCTTGATGGTAAATAAGTAAAATGTGATTGATTCAAGATTGTAATTTTCATGATTCCATTAATGGATAAAGTGGTACTTCATACAGTTGATAAATGTGGATAAAACTTTGATAATGAGGTGTACGGTGCACTAAATATTTATCTGCCTGTATCCTGTATAGCAAGTTATGTTTTCATGCACCTTACCTGACCCGATCCAAATACCATTGTTCCCAATTAATTGCCCATCACGGGTGATTAGCGGCCGAAAGAGCAGAGACAAAAAGTGAGAATCACGGTCTAAATAAGATGATCCTGATCGCGATAGGACCGCGTAGTCGTCAGCATATTTTTTATCCCCTTGCTCTTTCGCTGATAACATCGCCGGGTATATCGATGACCGTATTCGATTAAGATGAGTTGTGATGTGATTAAGGAAATGTGCCTACTCACGGCTGTCCACGGCGTTAACCGGTAGTTAGAGAATGTAATTACTTTTCTGTAGTTTTATTTGGATTTTATTGAGTTATTCGATGTTTAGTCTCTCCAGTCGCTGGCCATTTTGAATGGGACGAAATCAACATATGTGCGCAGCATTCAACAGGTAAGCAACAAGTTGCATTTTGATGTCGGTATATTCTCACTCAAAGACGTAATGAATGCAACTGTCAAATATCGTATCTGAGACCCAAATGGTCGGGAGGGTTTATATTTCATAGGTCCAAAGAATATAGTGGTATTGCTCTGAAACTTACCTAATATATAAGTACACAATTTCTCACATAGATCACCCTGTATTATTGTGTCAATTTGCCTTTTTGCCTATATCCATATCATAATTTTCTCCGCCAATCCATTCTGCATTGTAAAAAGTCGATAATTATTTTGTTTATTGCTGGGATTTGTACTGTTATTTAATTAAGTATGAGTAATCAAATTAGGCTTTGACCACTTTATTGCCTTAACTGTGCACATGCCTCTCAATTATGGCAAATTACTCGACGCTGTTGCATTTATATTAATTAGCCTGTAATTATTTCAGACTCCTTTTACATAGGAATCCGATAAATCTATCTTATTTTATATCGGACATTGAACGAAACGGTTCACGCGGCCTTTTTTCAGATCAAAAATACACGCGATACTTGAAGTCGAGTTATCATTTACCATGATCATAATGTTCGAAGGTTAAGATTTAATCTCACCTGTATTCTGGCCTCTGTCAGTCCTATTTTCATCGCCAGCTCTTCCCTGAAACAAAAGAAATAAATTGGATAACAATAAACAGAACGAATATATTCTCTGGATGTAACTATATTCATACGAGTACTTGGTGCAAGAGGCTACCGTGTCTCTGGATATAGAAAGCATTGTATAGGAATAAAAACGTACATTTGGAATTTTGGTGACGGATGATTTGAAATGTTGGTGGCGAAACATCGCACTCACCATTTTATCCGAGATAAAACAATCGCTCATCCTGAAGATCCTTGCTATTAAATTATGTTCTAGTCATCGGTCCTTGATCAGTGTGTGAACTTTCAATTCAATTCGATATTTTGAAGTGGGACAAAATCACCTTTGAAGATTTCATTACATACAAACATATATGAAAGCGTGGTAAAAATTGACGTGGTTCGGCGAATCCTATACAAGAAAATTCGGTTCTCAGGGTCTTGCAAGACCCTGGTATGAGGGTTTATACCACAAAAGTAAGAAACAGTATCAAATTCAGGAAAAAGATTTATATTCAATATTCTCGATATTGTATGACAGTATTCATCAAAATCGTTGTTATCGTATATCAACAAATTAAAATATTACAATATTGATATCTTGCATTCAATACAGGGCTGAGTTGATATACGAGTGTGCCACAATACTCCCCCCATAGCAAAAAAAAACAATAACAATCACTGTAATACATCGCCTAATTGATTGCAAAAGAAACTCTCTTGATAGTTTGTTTGGTCATAGACTACAGAAGATATTGGTTTGGTGTCTCTTCATCGCTAAAGTATTATTTTCTTTCAATATAAATGCAGGTTTGATTTTATCAATGTCTAAATGAATGTGTTCAAACCTACACTTTGGAATTGTGAAAACTTGAATTTGTGATCTGGTGTGTTTATATATTCCTGACGTTTGACAAGTTATGCGTGATTTTGTCCATAATTTAACATCAGTATTCATGTGTGACCTGGATGGTAAATGCCATGAATTTCATCGAAAATTACTTTTCGAAATTCTTTTGGAATATAAGGTCGTTGTTTAGAATCAGATATGTCACACCAAATTTTAATGTTTTTGAATGGTATTTCTACTTTCTCAAGAGAAAATTTTGATTTCGAATTTTTTAATAATTCTTTCAATTCTGAATCTTCATCTTGAGCTCTACCTAGTTCTGTGATATTCAAATCCGAATATGAGTTTTTTGAAACTGCATGTATTTGATTGGTAGTTCTAGATAAAGTATCGGCAACAATATTGAGTTTAACTTGGATGTGTTTGATATCAGTAGAAAATTGAGCATTATATTCCATCTGACGAGTTTGCCTAGGACTTCTATCAGAGTTTGTACTGAGTGCTGTAGTAAGAGTTTTATGATCAGTGAAAATGGTAAAGTTTTTTCGCTGTCACTCAGTTTTCTCGAGAAAAATGCTAACGGTTCTAATGAGTCAGATTCATTTTGTTCAATTGTAGCGCCAAGTGCAGTGTTTGATGCATCTACTGTTAGAAAAAGATGTGCATTCTCTTGTGGGTGAGATAAAATAACAACATCCACTAGAACTCGCTTCTTCACTCAGCACTCAGCGGACACCGACTGATTCATAGGCGATAAAATCAGGTGTCGGACGACCAATTAAAGTCGATCGCGACACAAAGATGGTCCGAACGATAAAGGAAAAAAATTAGGTAGCACCTAGATGACCGTCGCCGCCGGTATCCTTCCGTAGGTAGGTCTCTAATTGCCCGAATGCCGCATAGACCGACCAACATGGTCCTCCGACAAATTGCAGACATCTCGGAATTTCTGTCATCGCCAGTCACAGGTTTATCTCAGTTTGCGCAATCGAAAACAGGGTTTCCGCATTTCGGCCGGATATAAACGGCGATAACGATTCTGTGTGTGGCTTTTCGGGTTTTGGCCCTTGGCAAAGCTAGAGTTGATCTATCCAGGAGCTAGGTAGCCTTAGGGTCCCTTGATGCAAACTGACGTATTTGTCATCTAACAGGGTACAGACAGATCATAGCTCCTTTCTCTTTTAATGATCTAGTGACGTTGGTTTTGTGTATTGGCGTCCCTGACATGACATTGCTGTCACGTCACATTCATCGGCGTTAAAAGAGATCTTACAAAATTTTAATTTCATACTTGATCTTAATTCGCGATAGAAAATAACACGTCGCTCCACCTGACGACAACAACTTGAACACTTCTCAGCGGTTTGTTTTGATGATATGACCAATAAGCACGAACAAAAAACAAATGTGAATCAATGAAAACAAAGTAAACATGCCGCTTTGTCAGCTTCCAAGAACTCCGATAGGTGGCGTACGCTTATTTTCTATCGCGAATACGACACTATTCATTTCTGTTTTGGAAGGATGGTAAAATGTGCTGCGTTAGGTTATATCAATCAGTTGGATGGCAGATTTGAATTTGTCAGCTTTCCATTAAATGCAATTGAACTTGGAACATGGAAAGTGAAGTGACCGAATGGGGAAAATTGGTAAATACATCAGCAAAATATTCGAGGTGAAACTAATACGAAATCACATATTATACTATCTCATTGTGCCTATAATTATCCACTTCTCAAGATTTTGAATGCATTCAGAAAATATATAACCCAACAAGAATATATAAATATACAGTACCACCATCTCTCAACCATAAGGCTCAGTCTGAAATCAAAATTCATTTATTTATAGGTACAGCCTAAGAACAGTCCCATTCGGGAAAACTGTGACTGAATACAATTCTATTAAAAAAGGTCCTTTTTCCCCACGAAGAATGATATGAAATTCAAAGTTTTATCCAGTTGAAGGTATGAATAAAAAAGAACTATAGAGAGATGAAGATCATCATGATTCTTCGAATCGCATGAAGAAAAAGAATTAAAAGAAAATAAAAATAGTATTGAAAAAGAAAATGAGATGAAAATCAGATTAAACTTTTGTTAAACTTTGAACAATGATTCAGCACCTTCATTTGCCTTAATCATCTGAAGGTCTTGCGACAGTGATCATTCAGAAGCTATACCAAACCAACCATAAATGAGATGAGTGGAATTATTCCGACATCAGCATAATTTCTTGAGGCCACGGTCGATTTAGCGTCGTAACCATCAGGTGTATGGATATCCAATTATTCTCAGAAACATACCATTATAATATATAAATGAATAATTCAGATTTCACGATGTGTGTACATGCCCAAATAAGGGACGCTTTGTTATTGGCGAACATATTTTTTTATTGACATGAGGAGTCTGTTTTTATTCCGTTGATGGCCAAATTAAGAGGACATCGTTTCCCAGAATCCTGTTAGCTGGATCAAAGTACCAGTTGCGAAGATGTACTGAAATTCGGTATGGTATAACTGTTTCTTCCTTTTCCCTATTCGTATACAGGTAGGAGTCTCTTATTTTTTGCATCCTAAACTCAGCAAATCTAGTGAATATTATTTATTTGCGATTTCTCACACACTTGCATTAGCCTTTTAGGTCTTTGAGTTCTGTGAACTCACCTGGTAAACACGTCGGGATAGTGCGTCCTCGAAAACGCCTTTTCCAGCTCCTCCAGCTGATAGCTGGTGAAGGTCGTCCGGTACCGCCTTTGCTTCCTTTTGGGAGCGAACTCGTCCGGCTCCGGATCGCTGCCGCCGTCGCTGTGCTCGTGGGGGTGGGGGTGGGAGCCGCCCCCGCCGCCAGGGGGAGCCGACGCTCCCGGAGGCGGCTGCCGTGGCTCGGCGCCGGCGCTCGGGGTCAGTTCTTCGGACACGCCCATCAGGTCGCCGGTGGTATCGGAGGAGGCTGATTCTGCAAGGACAGCAAAGATTCAGTATGTCAGTCGGAAAGTCAGATCTCTGATGGCTTACAATTCAGAATTCTGGGGTTACAAGTCAAAATTATGGGTTACAAGTCTGGATATTACAAGTCAGAATGCTGGGTTACAGGTCAGAATACTTGGTTACAAGTTAGAATTCTGGGTTACAAGTCAGAATTCTGGGTAACAAGTCAGAATTCTCGATTATGAGTCAGAATAATGGGTTATAATTCAGAATTCTGGGTGAAGAGTCAAGATACTGGGTTACAAATCAAAATACTGAGTAACAAGACAGAATTCTGGGTTAAATGTTGAAATACTGGGTTACAAGTCAGAATACTGGGCTTCAAGTCAAAATACTGGGTCACAAATCGAAATTCTGGGTTATAAGTCAGAATAGTTGGTTACAAGTCTGAGTTCTGGGTTAAGAGTCTGAATTCTGGTTTACCAGTCAGAATTCTGGGTCAAAAGTCAGAATTATGGGTTAGAAGTCTACATACTGGGTTAAAATTCGGTATTATAAGTCATCAGCTCTGACTCTGGCTATAATGCGGAAGTTTCAGGCTGTAATTTCGAGTTGTTGAATCATATTGATCAATTAGGATCCTTAACAAGTCAAAATACTGGGCTACATGTCTGAATTCTGGGTTGCCAGTCAGAATTCTTGGTTACAAGTCAAAATTATGGGTTAGAAGTCTGAATACTGGGTTAAATTTTGGTATTAGAAGTCATCAGCATTGACTCAGGATAAAATACGGAAGTTTTCGGCTGTAATTTCGAGTTGTTGAATCATATTCATCAATTAGGATCATTAATAAGTCAAAATACTGGGCTACAAGTCTGAATTCTGGGTTACCAGTCAGAATTCTGGGCCAAAAGTCAGAATTCTGGGTTACAAGTCAAAATTAGGGGTTGAAAGTCTACATACTAGGTTAAAATTCGGTATTATAAGTCATCAGCACTGACTCAGGATAAAATGCGGAAGTTTCAGGCTATAATTTCGAGTTGTTGAATCATATATGATCAATTAGGATCATTAACAAGTCAGAATACTGGGCTACAAGTCAGAATTCTGAGTTACCAGTCATGATTCTGGGCTTAAAGTAAGAATTATGGGTTATTAGTCAGGATTATGGGTTAAAAGTCCAAATACTGTGTTAAAATTCGGCATTATAAGCCATCAGCACTGACTCAGGATAAAATGCGGAAGTTTTAGGCTGTAATTTCGAGTTGTTGAATCATATTTGATCAATTTGGGATCATTATCAGTCAGAATTCTGGGTTATGAGTCAGAATTCAGGGTTAGAAGTCGAGATTTCAAGTCATCAACAATAATTCTGAGGCCTCTGAGGGACAAGCTTGAAATTTCAAATCATGTGTTATAAATTAATTCTGGGTTGTTGAACAGAATTCTAGGTTAAATGTCGAGATTATATGACATTACCGTTGATTCTGGCTTGAAATGCGAAATTTATGGGTTATAAATTTGAGTTTTCAAATCGTATAATCATGTCATAATATGTGTTCAATAACTGGGGCCAATTATCAGTGCTGCTCCTAATGTGGCGTATGGAGTTAGTAACAAAGCCTACACAGAACACACATGGCTGAAGGACCTCTCGACAGGTCGCTGGCCAGTTGGTATGTACATACATACCATATAATCTCAGAATTCTGGACAACGAGTTATAATAATTATTCTGGGCTATGAATCAGGATACTGGTTTGAAATTGACATTAATTCTGGATAAAATGCGAAAGTTTTGGGTTACAAAATGAATAAGTACGAGTTTGGAAATCACAGGTGATGAATTAGGTTCATTATTCAGAATTTGTGTTCGTGAAAAATTGCGATCATCATTACAGTGCAAATAATGTTTTCCCGTTAGATGCCTGAATTCTAAAGACAGGATTTTCGTCGCTGTGCTCGTAGTTATTACCCCAAAAATACAAACACTTTCTACTTTATCGATATGTAGGTAAGTAAAATAGGTACTTATTCTAATGACTGGCCTATAGTCCTGATACCCAGTATATAAATAACGGATGAACGTTGAATTTATAGTCGTTGGTCGATTAAAACAACCAGGAAATAGTAACACCTTGTAATGCATTTCGTCGATCTAAAGCCAGAGCCGCCAAGTGTTTACCTCCAATGTTTACGATTAGGCACAACGGAACCAAGACCTGTCGATGAGACAATGGAAAATTAGGCAAATTAGGCTCGATTTTGGGCCGCCGCTAACATTATGTTTAATGATTTAATTATTGTACGAGCAACATTACTTTTAGCTTTGGGATATCGTGCGACGTTTCGACCGTGAAATTAACTTTTAATTATTAGAATGAGTTACGTCTGTGTTTGTTATGTTTTCCTTGCTATCGAAGCGATGATTTTTATCGCTTTAATTAATCTGCCGTGTTATCATCCGGTTGATTTATGTACAATGAGGCATTACATCAGCGACTAATGGCCTAGTATTCGTCAGCTTCCTCAAAATATCTGTCTCATCTTCATGTTTCAGAATTTTCATAGGAAAAACGCATTACAATCGAAGAGAAACTACAGAGAAAATTTCACTCATCTGTCGAATTTAAAAGGTTTATGATGATCACGACCAAACAAATTTATCAATTGAATTTCATTTGTTTTTCATCGTATATATACCTGTAGTGAATTTTCATCGAATTCAACAGTAAAAAATTACAAAATTGTTTGTTTTTCCGTTTTCGAGATCATAATATCTTGAGAATACTTGAAGGGTATCCATTTTCTTGAAGAAAAATTGAAAATACTGTTTCGAGGTTAATCGAAGAAGTACATTCATTTTTCCCAGATTTGGACTCTCTCCTCGTTTCTCTTTGGACGTTTCAGGAACGAATCTGCTTCCGTTTTGAACATGAAAAATGGAAAATATAATGAAATATAAAGTAACGGCCATTCCCATTGCGTAAAATTGCGAATCTAGCATCGATTTCAAATATAAATAGAACCCGATTTAATTATTACCTAATAAACAATGTATACTTAACCCGGCGTCGCCCAGGTATAGTCTCAGATAGCCAGACAAATTTTAAATCACTGGCATTTCAATTTTAATGTATGCACATTTCTTTGGTTGCCTACAGCTTCCCAAAACACTTCATTCTGTCATATTCTGGTGCGGATTCAATTTTTAGTTAGTTACCAAGATAGTGACAGTATACAGTAAACAGCTTTGGGGTCTGAGAAGCCCAACCTGTGCAACAAAGATATATATTTTATTCTAAGAGATACATGTAAATTCCCATAAGAAAATGGTTCATTTTTTGTTTTTTCCTTAACTACATGTTACTTTTCTAGCTGATAACTTTTTTTAGCTGATATTTTAATAATTAGTTTTGCATGAAGTCTTTCAGAATTGAGTGTTGTTTATTTTCTGAATAGTTTTCAAAGATATCATGTTTTTTACCCGTGAGAATTTCGCCATCTATATGTCTTTCATGATATCTCATGAATTAAACTTATTATAAAAAGTTTCTGTTTTACAATTGATTGTGTTCCTCGAGTTTCTAATTATGGGATACATCAGACCCCATCTGGGTGAGAATGTACCGATTTTTCACCTGTCACTCAGGTGGGTTAAAGCTGGTTCTTATAGATGATATCTCGGATGATATTGGCGAAAAAAATTAAGTAGGTATTTCTCGGAGTGAAATTGAAAAAAATCGAAATTCTTCCGAGCGCTTCAATTACTTTTGGAGTAATGCGTACAATTATCTGTAGACTTTCTCGTGTAGTAAGTACTACACGCTTAATTATTTTCGAGGAATTGTTTAAATGCGCCAGCTAAATTGCTATATTCGCTGGCCGATATTCAGGTTTTGCGAGAACATTAAATATTGATCGAAAACAGGATCATTTCCGAACAACCGCGTATAAATATCAATGAAGTTTTCCTGTCATCTTCGTCGGTACACGAAGAGAAAAATTACATAGTCGATGGAATGTTGATTATCCTATAATTCAGTGAAATCTCAAGGATATCCAATCATTGATGTCTACAGGGTATCACAGAACAACGTGCAATGAATAAAAAAAATTAAAACTGCATTTTAAGGATATTTTATGTATGTTTATAAGCTCTTAATCTACTTATTTCAGCCAAAGAAGAGAATTTGAAACTACCCATTCAATCACAGACATCAGTAGTCATTTTGCATTCTGTTCGGAGAAATTTCATTGGACTTAGCCATATTTGAATATACAGGGTGTAGATAAATTAGTCCTTGTCATATTCATTGGTGGAGTGTGGCATTACCCACCAGGCGAATGGCTCTTTTCTGGATGGAATCTAAGAGCATCAGCGTATGTTTGGATGCTGATCCCAATACATGAGAACAGTATTTTAAAACTGACCGTGTCTGTGCTTTGTAGATCATGAGTAGCTGTTGTGGTATAAAGTCAATTTTCGCAAGGAACAAGAAACCGATTTTTTGTGAAGCAGCTTTTACGATATGCTTCGAACATGATGTTTCCTTGAGAGAGTATTGCTGATGGTGTTACCATAGATATAGTGGAGTTGGTGGGAATGGTGGTACCAGACATTGTTATATCAGCCATACTGAGTTGCTCCCAATAGATCGTTGATATAAAGTAGGAACGATGTTGGTGCCAAGATTGATCCTTGCGGAACGCCGGAATTGATGAAAATGGTACTCCGTCCACCACAAAATGGTTAAGTTTATTCATGATCCTCCTGTATATATGAGCTACCATGGTTGCAAAATACAGTCTGGTTGGTGGCTAACGATAAAGTCTCCATATATTCAGGAATGATGAACTTATTGAGTCTATTGAGTTATCTCAATGTGGGTCTGGAGACCACGCATAAAAATTTGGAGTAAAATAGAATTTTTATTGTTTCCTCAAAAACTAAGCGAGATAGAAAAGTAACACAAATGACAATGAAGTTGTATTTTCAGTTGTTCTGTCGAATGAAGATATGGGACG